GTTACATTGTTATTATTGTTATATATATTGTTATTATTTAATTAGTCTTTATAACAATATAATTTTATTTAACATGTAAAACATTTATAAAATAAAGACAAACATAATGTAAAATTATAAAAGAATCTCAAGTCAATTGATATATTATAAGATAATACAAGAAATAAAATAAAAATAACATTGGATTTTCTTTGTATAGATTGAATCTAAACTGGATGAACAATATTTGATAATAAAAGGAAAAAATATTACTTGGTACAGACCAACAAATTTGAAGACATTACTTGCACTCAAGGAACAATACCCAAATGCTAAAATTGTCGTTGGTAATACGGAAATCGGTTCGTATACTTTCTTTTTTAGAAACATCATACTATTAAGGTATAACTTATTTATAATATTATTATATTTTAGGGGTTGAAACGAAATTTAAAAATTTAATATATCCGACACTCATACAACCAACACAGATAAAAGAAATGTATAGAATTATTGAAACACAAGACGCATTAAGAGTGGGTGCGAGTGTAACTTTAGTTGAGCTTGAAGATATACTAAGACATTATGTTAAAACGAAACCTGGTAATATTTTTATAATATTTTTATAATTATATTTATTATAATATTATAATTAAATTTCAATACATAAACAAGTGTAATCAATCATAATTTAGTTGTCGTTTGATAATTTTTATAATAATAATTTGACTTAGAATAGAATAAATATGAATATAATACAATTATAATATTTCCCCAACAGAATATAAGACAAGAATTTTCACGGAAATAATAGATATGTTACATTGGTTTGCTGGAAAACAAGTAAGAAATGTTGCTGTAAGTATGAATGTATTTCCAATTGTTATTTATAACTTGCAATTGTTATTTATAACTTGAATAATAAATCTTTGCTAATTAATTAGGCTGTGGGTGGCAACATAATGACTGGTAGTCCAATATCAGATTTAAATCCAATCTTTATGGCTGCTAGCATTAAATTAAATTTATGCAGTTTAAAATATGGAAGTCGAACTATATCAATGGATCATACCTTTTTTATCGGATATCGAAGAAATGTAATTAAACCTGAAGAAGTATTAATCTCCATTGATATTCCCTTTACAAAAGAGGTAAAAAATACTAATAAACAAAATTCTATTATGACAATAGGAACAATATTTAATATTTTACAATTTTTGCAGAATCAATATTTTATTGCTTATAAACAAGCAAAAAGACGAGATGATGATATAGCCATAGTCAACATGGCTTTAAATGTATATTTCATTCCTACTACAGGTATAGTTCAGGATGTGTATATTGCATTTGGTGGAATGGCACCTACTACTATTTTAGCAAGACAAACTTGTCAGAAAATAATTGGAAGGTACCTTATAATCATTATAATTAGAGATATATTAAATTAAAAGCTTAATATATGTATTACAATATATGCATATAATATAATATGTGCATTAAATTACGACTAATAATACAATTAAAAGATATTTAAAAAAAAATAATAATATAATAATATCCCAGTCAGTAAAATGTTAACAGAATGTCGACAGACTAGTAATAGATTTGATCAGAAAATGTTAACAAACTGACCTCATCTGAAATCTCATTCTACTTACATTCTGTTGACAAAACCTATTAATATTCTGCGCCAACAGACTGGCAACAGAAATTAAGCAACTCCTGCTGTCAGTTTGCCATCAGATTGTGTCGCATACATGTCTTGCTTGCTTTCTGCTGCTAATCTGACGGCAGACTGCAGCAAAGTCTGCTCGATTTCTGCTGTCAGTCTGCTGGCACAGAATGTCAACAGGTTCTGTTAGGTTTTTAGCAGCAATTTGCTGATTGCTGATTGTCAGATATTACAGAATCTGTTTGCAATCTATTGTATTTCTAACATCATAAATTTATAGCGGACTCTACGCATAATCTATCTCTTCAAGTTTGGCTGTCGGGGAATTTTCTCATTAGAAAAGTTGTACAGATATTAAATCATTGATATATCGCTTTATTAAGTAATTCCAGCTTGTGTCTCGCTTTTTCCTCTTATCAATGCATTACTCAATAAAAACAAAATTTTCGAGTGATTGAAATACATATTAGTATCAACTATAAATGGAATAGGTGTTTAATAATTGCCTTTCCGATCTGTCACTGGATAATAATAAACGTTGGAATATCCAATTATCCAACAAATTCACTATGGCATATCTTTATTCATTCTAATACAGAAATGCATGAAACTCGTGGATAATAAAATTTGTAATTGCATAACTATAATTAATATTAATTTAATATTCTAAAATGAGAAGTGCATATATCAATATATAAATATTTTTGTCTTAAATTATGTAAATTTAAATAAAATACATGTAAGAGAAAAACAAATAAATTAAGTTCGGTATTAAACGCTGTGCAATTTCAGAAAATGGAACACATTAATTTTAGAAGAGGTTTACGATTCCTTACTCGAAGAACTACCATTAGCAGATAATGCACCAGGAGGAATGATTAAATATCGCCGATCTCTCACTCTCAGGTTCGATATTGAAACATGTTAACAATTAAAAATAAATTAACAATAGTTCAAATAACTGAAATCATCTATTTTTCAGTTTATTCTTTAAAGGATTTGTGCATATCTCTAAGAAATTATCAAAAAGTATTTCGGACGTAGAGTACATATCAAAAGAATTACAAAGCGTTTCGGATTGTTTCCATTATAAAATACCAAAAAGTTCACAGTATTTCCAAGTGGTAATATCTTAATTCAAATGTTTAAAAACAATTATTTAAATCTAATACAAATTATTACATTTTATAATTTCTGATATAGATACCTAAAGATCAAAAGTCATATGATTTAATAGGACGTCCTTTTGTACATACTAGTGCGTTGAAACAAGCAACAGGAGAAGCGATATATTGCGATGATATGCCCAAATTTGAAAAAGAATTATACTTAGCATTAGTTCTTTCTACTAGAGCGCATGCAAAAATTTTAAAAATTGACCCATCTAAAGCACTATCTATGGAAGGAGTCATATCATTTTTCTCTTCGAAAGATATAGCCGATAGAAAATTAGTAGGTCCTGTGTTTCATGATGAAGAAGTATTTGTATCTGAAAAGGTATGTTTTTAAATTAAAGTAAATATGAATTATCATTGTTGAAATTAGTAAATAAAAAATTTTAAATTTTAAAAATTTTTCTAAAGGGGGGATGATAAAATGGACCGATTTTGGTTCCCGGAGCGAGAAATAGAAACGATATATTTTTTTTATGGGTTTTGAGCTGCTGAATCTAATTCTAATCTTTAAAAATTTTTAATTTGTCAGGAAAGTATTAAAATTAGCATATGAAGCTGTTAAATATCCAGTACCATAAATCATTACTATTGAATTTTACGAACGTAAATTAATTCATGTTTTCTTGCCAATAAAACATAATAATACTCCCATTTTTAATAGCTTTGCTTGATAAAAAAAGTCAAGAAATTATTAACATCTAAAAATAGAGGCATTATTAAGAATTATTATAAATCTTGACTACGGCTCTTAGGTAGAGCATAAAAAGATTTAAAATAGTTTTCGAAAAAACTAAAATTACAAAGATTATTTACGTATATTAAAGTTAACAAAAATTTTTTTATGTTTTCTTATTTTTTCTAGGTTACCAGCCAAGGTCAAGCAATTGGTGCAATTGTTGCTACTGATCAATTTATTGCTCAAGCTGCAGCAAAAATGATTAAAGTAGAATACGAAGATTTAAAACCTGTAATCATATCTATCGAGGTAATTTGTTTCAATAAAACTGCAAAATAATTATTTTTAAATTAAAAAATTATTATTTTAATTATACGTATAATAAATATATAAATATTCTAACTTTTTCTGCAGGATGCTATCAAACATAAATCATTTTTCCCTGACTGCCCTAAGCGTATTATTAAAGGTGATGTGGATAAAACTTTTGCGGAAGTAGACCATATTTTAGAAGGAGAAGTACATATAGGAGGCCAAGAACACTTTTATTTGGAAACAAATGCTACTATTGTTGTGCCTCGTGAAGAAAATGAATTGGAAGTGTTCTGTTCTACGCAGCATCCTACCGAAATACAGAAACTGATCGCTCATGTCTTAAATATACATATTAATAGAGTTAATGTTCGTGTAAAACGCATAGGAGGTGGATTTGGTGGGAAGGAATCCCGTGCAGCGTTGCTTGCAATACCAGTAGCACTCGCAGCTCACAAGTATGTGGATAAATAAATATATATATATATATATATATATATATATATATATAGTAGTATAGTAGTATATAATAATAATATACATATAAATTATAGAATTCACACTAATTAGCGTTAATCTTTTTACATATTGTCACGCTCACAGCGGACACGACTCGCTCACATAATGAATTATAGTAGCATTCACTCACATAATGAATTATAGGTATTATAAAAAAAGCAAACTTTATTAATAAAACGAGAACAAGAGAATTGAAAGAATATTCGTAATGATCATAGCTGCACCGCAACTCTCTCGCAATTCGATCGCAGTTTGCAGAATACAATGACAATAATAAACGAAATTAAATTTTCAAAGGACAACCTACCTTCACAGTTACATCACTAAACACTGTTCTGTTTGTATCAATAATATAGCATTAGATCATGTGAATAAACTAATTAGCAGAACATGAGATTGCAATCTGATGCAATGCTTTGCATAAATTTGTTAACAAACATCTGAACATACTAACTGCTAACATTTTATTTACTGGAAAATATGATGACAGATTATTTGCAGAAATCAAGTAAGCTTTAACATATGTGATATGGATTAATAGCAAAAATAAATATATTTGAGATACAGATGTCTATATTTTAGTAGAATAAATTCTACTAAAATTTTGCTCTATTTCTGTCATCAATCTACAAAGTTATGTTAGCAAGTTCCGTCGATAAAATACAAACTAATAAATACAGACACAATTGATATCAATTTATTAGCAATTAAATGTTATGCTGATCTGTTAATATACCATGGTCAATGTTTGTATTTTATATTAATGTACGTGCGTATTAATATAAAATATAAGAACATATTATTTTTTAATAACATTTTAATAAAAATAGATAAAAGTTTGTTTGAAAAGTTCTATTCAATAATTTTTAATTCATACTTTATATTTATCCATGTCTAGCTTATAAGTCAAATGCTTCCATCTTTTCTTCCATCTCACTTCTTGCTTGTAAAGCGAGATAAAGAAAAAAAAACAGTGATGTTTGATAGCTCATAAGCTACTAAACATATTAAACATATGTTTTATTTCATTTATATTCTTCAAAGTCAGTCTTATATTAATTTCATATATAATATAGATGTATTATTAAATAAAAATGTCTCAAAAAAATTAAATACAGATTGCAGAAACCAGTTCGTTGCATGCTAGATAGAGACGAAGACATGATAATAAGTGGAACACGACACCCATTTTTATTCAAATACAAAGTTGGATTTAATAATGACGGCCTTATTAAAGTAGCAAAAGTACATATGTATAGTAATGCAGGTTACTCCCATGATTTATCGATATCGGTAAGTAAAAACAAAAAATAAAAATAGTTTTTAGAATACAAATAAGTAAAAGTAAAAAAGATATAGTAATATAACAAAAAATAATAAAATCAATTATTAAAATATGTGTATTTAATGCAACGTCACTAAAGTGAAACATTTTTGATTTGAATTCTTTTCAGTCGCTAATATATAAATCTAATAAATATCTCGATGAATGATAATAAAAACATTGATGCATGTAAAAAACTAACACATTCCAATAAAAAAAGACACTGAAACGAAATTAATCATTTCCTTGAGTAGTCCATAGTTTTTTGGACGCTGAATAGAAATCCGGTTTTCAAATTTCTTCATCACATTACAGTTTTGAGAAATTTGCAATCACAATAACAAAAATAGCTATTTTCACATATTTTATCGTTATATCTTTAATTATTTTATTACAACTACAATATGTGTATTGGAGAAATGTTATTGCAATCAAAATTAAGTACGTAGAACATTTTCAACCCTCAAAAGGAATCTTTTTTGTATTGGTTATAATTAAGAGAATTTTTAAAAAAAAAAAATTTTGTTTTTTCCAAAAATTTTGAAAATCATACGAACTATTTTGATGAAATTTTGTATGTGTTGAAAGGATATAAAGGCTCATCTTTTGGTATCATACATCAATTTTGATATTTTTAACTCTACTTTTTTCAAAAACTTGACATGATAGCGCAATCTAATTGCCGGATTCCGTGTTTAGCGCTTAAAAATATACCGGAAAAAGGATCTTTTATTTAAACAACGGAACAACCCTGTCGGTCAGTGTTATAGATTATACCTAAGATCTAATCCTCCCAAGCAATGTCATCTATTATCTTATTGTTTAAAAATTATTAATTTTATTCCAAATATTTTCAGGTATTAGAACGTGCTATGTTTCATTTTGAAAATTCATATAAAATTCCAGTAGTAGAAGTATTTGGATTTATATGTAAAACAAATTTACCATCAAATACTGCTTTCCGAGGTTTTGGTGGACCACAAGGAATGTTTGTAGCTGAAAAATATTGTTCGTCAAATTGCTGATTATTTAAGTATGGATGTTGTTAAGGTAATTTTTAATATTAGAATTACATATACATGACAACATGTAGACATTTTAAGATG